CGCAACCCTTACCCGGCAGCTTCAGCGCCCGGGACAGCACCGTAGCCATGCTTGACACGGCAGTGCGCTCGCGCGCCGCCCCCCGCCCCGCGCCGCCCCGCAGCCTGCTGGGAATTGTAGTTCCCCGGCGTGAGGAGCCGAGGCCCTCCTTGTCCCTCATGGTCCGGGGGGACAGAGACCCGCAGGGAGGGGCGGGCCGGTGGCAGTGAGCCGTGACCGAGGACAGCCCAGATCTCTGCAGCCTGCACGGCTGTGTGGGCACAGACAGATGGAAAATAGGCTTGTTGTCCGGGGTGGTTTGCACAGAAAGTGCCAGTCCCTCTGAATTACTGTTGCTATAAATATATGCCTTCATTCTTGGAAAGCTTTTGGTTGGAAGAAATCTAGTTGTTTTCTTTTTATTTTGCTATTTTATTTTATTTTATTTTATTTTATTTTATTTTATTTTATTTTATTTTATTTTATTTTATTTTATTTTATTTTATTTTATTTTTGTTGATTGATTACAAAAGATGGCCAGGTTTTTTTCTGAATCTGTCCTCAATCACCACCACAGTCCTCCGAGGTAAGTGCACAAGTGAACTCTCCCTTTCCCACAATGGGGAAGTTGAGCAAGGAGGGTTTTGTGGCTTCCCCAAAGCCACAAGGCTTCCTGATTCCCAGGCCCACACATGGGCCATCGAACACCGCCACTTCACAGTCACGATTTGTGTGAGAACTCACAAATCAAGGTCCTCTGTCACTGAATGAGAGAAAGGAGTATTGGCTAAATACATCAAAAGGTATTGTAATACCTTTTGATTATTTTGATTACCTGCCTGGGTAATGCGCACATCACGTTTCCTCAGCATCTGCTGCTGCTCTTGCTTTCCCCTGATTCAGGTGCTGTTTCTGCAAATAATGTACTTACTCTTTCATGTCCAGGTCTGTCCTGGAACTGCTGGAATAGTAACAACAAATAAGGAGCAGAAGAGAGACACCAAGTGGTCTAGCTGGTGAAAAGAGATTTTTTTTTCAGATGTGAACGGGAAAGGGAATAGTTCTGATCCAAAATCTTTTGGTACCAGAGGGTTTTCTTTCCACTGATGTCACCGGGTTTCAGAGACACCTTCCTGAGAACACAGCACTTGTGGGGGCAGTCCCAGGTGGGAAACTCTGGAGAAGCCATCACCATTGTTGTTATTCTTTCCTTTCCAGGTCTTTCTGAGTACAGAGTCTTTCTGTTCCATATGCCATTTCCTGTCCTCCAGGCTTTGATTTAAGAGCAGTGAAGGTCCTGTATCTATGTAAATATTTACAGGATATATCCTGGATCCTTTTCAAGTCTCAGTTAGCAAAGCCTGTGATAGACAGGGCAAGAGCTGTCCAGCAGAGTGACTCCTCCTAAGAAAATGCTTCTGGTACCAATTAGTGCTGGGAGCAAAAGAATGGCAGAAAACAGCCAAAAGCAGGAACTGGGAAGTCTGGTGTCCTCATTTGTGATCTTCTAACATCTGGCACACACACATACAGTGCAAAAGCCCACAGTTTGCTATGCTTTTACATTTGTGGTGCAATATAGCCCACTCTTAATTTCATGCATCCCCACAAAAATGGCTTGTTCCCCAAGCCCAGAGTTCTCTGTGGGGCTAATGGATTGCAAGGACAAGTGATTTGTGGTTAAACTGATGCTTTTGAGGAACATATGACTAAGCAATATGTTCAGAGGATTTAATGATTTGCAGAGCATGAGAAATAAAGTTTTCCTTCTTTACGCTGTGAATGTAAGCTGATTTGCATATAAATTGGACCTGTCAAGTGTTCTAATATCAATCAAAAAGTTGCAAATAGATCATTAATTTATGTGAATGCCACTGTTCATTTTATTTATGCTTTTTCCAAAGCAGTTTGAAAAAGCCAGATGCTGAAAAATTAGATATTTGAGATTAGGCTTGGAAGTCTGAGAGCTTTGTGTAGACAACGTGATCATTTAGAAAAATGTTACAAGGCAAAAAGCATGGAAATGCACAGCCACCAGCCCCTCATCAGTGTTAAGCCTGTGCCACCCCTTGCTTCTTTCCACCTTCTGCCAGAGACTACAGCCTTTTCCAGCCTGCTGGCACTAAAACCTCTGGCTGCTCCTTGACCCTGAAAGGAGCTACATTAAACACTGCTGTTTAAGGTCCTCAAGCTAGAGAAGGTCACTCTTGCAGAGCTGCACAATGGAGTGATTGCACACACGGCTCTGCTGTAAGATCAAGGCACAGTAGAGAGCAGATGAACTACTGGGGCAGGAGCTGTTCTCAGCTGTGCCTTTTTCCAGGTGTCCAGAGGGAAGAAGTAACCTGCACATTTGCATTCCTATTAGTGCTAAGCTAATGTTTTTACCTGTTCTATTCATCCCATCCTTCTATTCTGCATGGCTACATGAGGAGGTCAGGAAGTCAGGAACACCATCCTCTTTTCTCCTGTGCCTGGCTGAGTCCTTCTATGACACAGTAGTCACATGGGAGTAGACATTGCAATAAATAGGAAATTCTTGTTCAAACAACAAAATAAATACAATCAAGCAGTGAAGGATAACAGTAAGAAAAAATAAAGGCAAGTAAGCCCAGAAAAAGTGATAATAACATTTATAGTAGATGCAAAACAGCAAACTTCAGGAAGTTTTAAGTAGTGAAGATGGCCATGGAGTTCCTAATGAACCCATGCAGTAAAACCAAAACCAGCTCACCCTAGCATAAGGAAAGGCCAAAAGATGGTCAGAACTGTGCAAAAGTTTCAGCTGTGCAGCACCTGAGGTTGTGGAATGTGCCCACATGCTGCCTTCAAGGGGTGCGTTAGTTCAGGGAACTACTGCAGAGGGTTGCCCCAGCCAAACTCCTGATGGGCCTGTCTCTAGTCTCAATGTTGTTCTGCCAACACTGGGCACTCTGTGGCTGAGAACCCAGAGGGAAATGCCCAGTACTTTATGAGCTGGAGACACAATGAAAAATAGAGGGTATATGTTATACCAAAGGGAAGGCAGCACCTGGTGCAAAATCCCACAAACTGCCCAGCAGCAAGCATACATCTTAATGTGCCACTGGGAATTGCCCTCTTCCCTCTGAGCAGCTGGGTCTGCCAACACCAGCTCGGTGCATGCTGTCAGGTGCCACCAGGTTTGCTCACCCCGTGTCTCTGTGTTATGCCCCCATGGAGGGGCTTTTGCTCGCAGCATTCAAGCTGGTGTTCCTGTCTCACACTGACCATCAGGAGTTTGCATCCTCTTAGCAGAGAGATGCAAAGGCATAACAGGACTGTGTTTGCCACATGCTGAATGGGGAACAGCTGGAGGCAGATGATTGTTTGGGTTATTTGCCTGTTGCCTGGACATTTTGTTTGCTTGTTTGAGCCCTGAAAAAATATGTTTCCAGTTCCTCCAGAGGCTGGTCTGTGTTAAGCCTGTGTATTGTGCGCTGACTTTAAAAACTGGTGTTTTATAACTTTGCAAATGAGCTTCCTGCTGTTTCAGTGGCAAGGCTCCATAAATAAGGCAGTCTTCTCAGAAATTTCCCTGCCACGGAGCCAGGGGGACTGGGGTAGCAGGAGCAGCCAAAACAACATGCTTCTGGTGTCAGAGAAGCAGATATCCCCCAGTCTGGTTCCAGTTGAACCTCTCTCTTCTTGACTGAATTCAAGTGGCTGACTAAATGATAGTGCTGGCTGATGTTTATGGACTGTGCTTAAAAGCCACTCAGCTTCCCTCACAATCAGCTCCTCAACTGGTTTACACCAGCACCTGTTACAATCACAATACTGCATTTTTAACTGCTCTATCTGTATCACTTGCACATATCCTCTGGTTCCTTACTTCTGAGTGTTTGCTTTTATTCTGAGTGGCTGGGCAGTACTTCACTCTGTGAGAAAAGTGTCTTTTTTTCTCACTGTGTAGTACAGCATCTTGGCTGTGGAAAACTGAGTTAAGTAAGAATAGGCTGGTCAGGAAGCAGAGAGGGTGTTCTTGCCAGTTGATACTGGAGAAGCAATATCAAGAAGAATGCAGATTTGGCCAAGGCACTCTCAAGCAGTGCCATGGGTCTAGTCATGAGTGAAATGTGCAGCAATTCTGCACTTTGGGCTGTGGCAGCTGCACATCTTCTCAAATCACAGCAAAATATCAGTTTGACACAGATATGGGACCAGAGTCAGGGGTTTACCCCCTGCTTCACAAAATTCATCCCTTTAGCACCTTGCCTTTGTTTGGAAATCTCTTTATTAATTACTGACCAGACCAAAGCCTGTTTGATTTGGCAAGTGCAGACCTGAGGGAGGGGGTCAAGGGAAAAAAAAATACAACAACACTGAGCCGGTTCATCCCTCCTTGTTTATTCCACTAGAAATAGATTTGGCAGAGTGCTTCAGGAATGAACTAATCAGCAGGGAATTAATTGGCGTGTTAGTTAAAAGGCAGGAAGAATGTGGTGAACAAATTCATGACTGGATGGCTGGAGGGTTCAAGCAGCCAGAGAGAAGCAGTGCATAGTGGAAACTGTGACTAGTATGAGAAGTGATACATCTGTGCCAGAGAGCCAGCGGCTGAGAGCTGCCCAAAAGAACCGGGAGCAAAGATAACACGGGTGTCCTTGGAGACAGCGTTTTTGAGGAGGGCTCCATCGCCCAGGCTTTCCTTCCCATAAGGCTCCCATGTGTGGGGAGAGATGGCTAGTTTGCAGGGCTGGGAGTGGGAGGGAGGGGTAAGAGAGGTACAGCTGGAGGAGGCTTCACGGAAAGACTGTGGAAATGTGGAAAGCAGGGAAATGAAGAGGGACACGTCACTCGTTGTAAACTGAAATGCAGAGGGGGTGGTAAGGGGAAGAAAGGATCAAGGAGGCAGAGATTTGGAAGCTTCATCACAGAAGAACTGGCCTCAAGAGCAAAGGTAATGCTTGTATATAATTCTCTGCCTTCTTTCCCAGGAATGTTTTGTTTCTTCCTCTGGAGGAAACAGATGTGTACACCTCAAAAAGAGGTGGTTGTGTTGGGGGACTCTAAAGGCACCTGTGGGAAGAGCCAGGAGAGGAAGGAATATGTGCAGACTGGCATGGATATGGAGACTGGAGGATTGTTACCTACAGTTCCTACAGAGAACAGGGGTGTGTAGAATGAGAGAAGTAGGGAGAAAGAAAGAAAAGGCAAATCCTTAGAGTCAGGCAGACTGTCAGACAGGCAGACATGGAGAGTGCAAGATCTGTGAGTGCCTATCTAAGGAGAGAGAGGAAACTTCCTAACAGGAAGGACCAAGCACTAAATAAGAGAGAGTTGAAGATAAGACATATCCTGAAAAAGCAGGCGCACCTGGAGAAGAGGCAGAAGGTGAATATTACCTTCCCAAAACCAACCAACAGTACTTTACAGATGTATTGCAACAGATGTGTGCTTTGCATCCGGATGCCTTTTTTTTCTTTTTCATCTTTATCCCCACTATGGCTGCCTGCTGGCTGTATCACTGTGGCTGGGTTAATATTGTAGGATCCAATTTTTAAAATTAGTTTTGGCCTTTTTCATGATCTTTCCACTATTACATAATTCTACAGGCATATGCTAATGTTTCTCCTTTTTTTTTTTCTTTTTTTTTTTTTTTTTTTTTTTTTTTTTTTTTTTTTTTTTTTTTTTTTGCTTGAAGAGCTAACAAATGCCATCCGCTTTGCAAGTAGAGCTTGATTGTTCTGGACTCACAGGCTTGGCAGCTTCCTCCTCTAAAAGCTCAGAGACCTTTCAAGATCCCAGGCTGGGAGTCTCACAGAACTGGCATTAGAAATTGTATGCAGCTACAATATACTTTTTTTTTTTAATAAGAAACTGTTTGGTTTATATAACTTAAACCTTCTTGAATGTAATACATTAAACAGAACCTTTTAGTTGTGTGTGTATAAGTAATATAAAATATTAAAATATTGGGATGGAAATAAAAGAGAAGAAAAAAAAGAGAGGAATTCCAACAGTCTGCAGAAACAGCTTTATTTTCTATTGAGATCCTTTACAAAAATAGAGAATCTTAAACCTACTTTGATGTTTAAATACTCATTATCATTGAAGTGAGAGTTACATTTTATGTATTTATGATTTACCTGAGATCAAACTCCCTGACTCACTTACAAGTGCATTTTATTTCACTGCAAAGAGCCCAAAATCCAGAATCACCCTTCTGCCTCAGTCTGAAAGTAGCTCAAAAGGAACCTGAAAAAGTTATGAGAGAAGAACAGACCTCAAATGGAAAGCATGAATGTAATTCACTTGCATTTCAATGTTCAAATGCAGAAAAAACTTCATTTTAGGTATCACTGCAGGGATTGATTAATCAACAGCAGCCTCTTCTCAAAGCAAGAATGGGCTTGAGCTAACACCCTGGGATGCTGGTGCACTCAGGAGAGGGCATGTGTTTAGAGCAGCCAGAAGTACAGGGGAAGGTTTCCAGCCCTCTTGATGTACAAGGGGCAGGCAAGCTCTGCATTGTAAAGCAACAACTCGCACATCTGCAATAGCATGAGTGTGTTCTTCCCAGGCTTCAGGGGAGAGAGGGCTTTCTGAAATGAAGCTGTGTTTGGTACTAGAAGCAGGTTAAAACCCCCCCATACCCTGGCAGGCAGCACAGGCCACAAGTTAGTGGTGCACCTCAGTCATCACGCTCAACCCCAGCTGTCAAAGTCTGAGGCAGATACCAAGGAAACCTCAGGGCTCTCTTGGAATTACCTACTACATTGTGAGGAGGGATGAGCACCAGAAATGGAGCAACAAGAAACCAAAGGGGTTAATGGGAGAGGGACAGTGATGGGAGTTCAAATACTGGCAGTACTTCTTTGCTTTGGGGCAGGGATTCTGGCTTGGATGGCACAACTGCTGATCCCAGAAAGGCTGTCCTCAGGGTATGAAACTAGCTGAGCTCTTTTATCATTCTGAATTGAGGAATCAAAAGGTTAAAAGATGAAAAAAAAGACTGGACAAATATGTTGGTCTTCACTGCCTGCAGATGAAGGGATTGTCCAGTGAATCACAGAGCCTACCCTGCTCCAAGGGCAGAATGTGTTGTAATTTTCTGACAGCACTTCATATTATTGCAATTAATAGTAACAATGGCAAAGCTATTATGTTGATATTATTATTCTCTGAATTTAGGGAAGAGTTTCCATCCAAGGATGTGAGTTCTTCCTGCTTGTCCATCCGTGTTCTACCCTGATGGTACTTTCCAGTACAACTCTGCAGAAGAGCAGAAGACATATTTGAATCGCCTGGGGATCTGGTTCCTGTTACAGATGACCCTGCAGACTTTTTCAGCTAGGAACTTCATTAGTGAATATCCACTCGCTGTCTACAATTCCACCTAAGAGAGGGAAGATTGCTCATTTTCAGTGTGCCTGAGGTATGAGAATCTGCTTCAAAGATGATTATAACCTGATGTTTACTGTGATAATAAATTACAGTAGACCCGTGGGAATGCAGGGAGCAAAGCTACAAAGAAACTGGTCTGTGAGAGGCCCTGCAAATAGGACATGTGGGTATTGTGATTCATTTGGACACCTGATGTTTTAAAAAGTTGGAGCTCAAGTAGGGTGGATTTTCAGTATAAGATGTAGGTGGAATTTATTACCACCCTACTTTTAACAAATAGAGAAAGATCAAAGTATCCCAGCTGCGGAGTATTGAAACAAGTGGGAGATGGAAAGGATAAAGAATGGACAATCTCTTCAGGAAGTTTTTCCAATTAGCTTGGAAGCCACACTGTCTCCTTGATGTTGGCAGCATTTTCAAATCATTTGCAATTAGACACATAGGTGTCTGGTAAGTCCTTTCCCATCAGGGAAGATTAAAAAGGCATGTGCAGGGCATAGTCTTTCAAAGAAAGAGAAAGAAAGAAAAAAAAAAAAAGCTGTAAAGGCTGGCACATTTATCTGGAAAAACTGAGAGCTGGGGGAGGTACAGTGTCAATGCAAATTGTTTCAAGAAGGTCCATGAAGACCTTTTCCTTATGAGCCTTGGTGATATCATCAGACCTTCTTAAAGATCTTTATTTTGGCAGCTCTGAGTTAGTGGGAAGGAAAGGTGTATGCATGTGTGAGATAGGAAGAAGGTAATTTATTTTTCCTTTAAGTGAATACTCCAATTAGATGAAGAATACTAAATACAAATTACATCCTGACAGATGGAAAGTAATGTTTTTAAAGTATCATGACATTTTCCATTAGTATGGCTATATTCATACTGATACTTTAAATAGTGGAAAAATAAATGCAGTTGCAATTAAAATGCACTAGTGATCAAAAGTAAGAAAGGCACAAAGTGAAAGGAATTATTTATTTACTGCTTTATCTGCTACAGCTTCTGGTAGATTTTGAGGTGACTGAATTTTTCCCAGATGGTCAGGAGATGAAGGTTATATTATATTAAAAAAGAAATTTAATGTCCTCATATTTTGCAGTGAAATCTTAGGCTTTTGATGCAAGTACCTGAACAGGAGAATAATTCAGATTTTCTGGATGTGCCTGCTTCTCACATGAGCCACTCCATCACTGTGACTACAGATGACTGAAATCATCACTAAACCCCATGAACCTGGCAATGCATTTTTTCTATTTGCTATGTGCAATATGTGCATAATGGATATTTTCAGCCAATTTCTAGCAGAACAGCTGTTCATGACACTTTTTTTTTTTTTAATTAAAATGCCAGATTCAACACTGAGGGACTAATTTATTAGGACAGAATAACAAATCAGCATGAGTAAGCTGTGGAGAGACTGATCTATCCTCTTACATTTAGAGAAGGTACTTGCCCAGGAGGGCGTGTAGAGTAGGGTTGTCTTGGGAATGATGGTAAACTTGTAAGAAAACAAGAAGTTAGATAAGTCTTCACATCAGTTCATATACATGTCCTGTCAACTCTGCAGCTTTGCTCAGGAGGAATTCACCCTGTGACACCAGGGCATGGTGGAGATAGTGCATGGGGAGTAAGGTTACCTTTGAGGCTTCGTTAGTCTAGTATTGCCACTGGTTAGTGGATCAGATCAAAAAGAACATTTTTTTTTATTATTCTGGCCACTGTGAGACACTTGATAAATTGTTGAATGGTTGTTTACCTTGTTTCTGCCAAATACAAAGTAGGGATGCAGTGATTTTCACACTTTGTAAGTACCTCCTCCTGACACTGCTAGAAAAATTGTAGCTATGAGGTGCTATCCAAACACAGCTACACAGGAAACAAAGCTATTTCCCTAGCTGCTGCAGGTTGATGAAGCATCTCAGTACCACTCTGTTGCTTGAAATGGAAGTAAAGTTCGTACTTGTGAAAAAGAAAAGTCCCTGTGCATCTGTAAAACCTATTCTGAGCAACTTGAACAACATTTTAAATAAAAACATTGCCAAAGAGAAATTTGGTGTTGTGATGACAGATAGGAAGTGAAGAAAGAGAAGAAAAAATAAATAAAGCACTTAGCAAGACTTTTTGTCTCCACAGGGTCAGGGGGAAGTCAAGATCCTACAACAGTCATCATGGTGACTCTTCCTCTTTTCCTCCTCTTCATCCTTTTGCCCTGCAGTAAATCTCAAGAGGACTTTCTGGACCAGCATCAGAAGTGGAACTACAGAGAAGGCGGTAGGAGGTCACAGTGGTGGTTCAGCATGGTTCAGTAATTCAGAGATGCAGATTCACTTATTTTGTCCTTGACAGTGGTCATCCATGACTGCTCTTTCTGGATTCCTGGGTAGCTGTTGAGATTTCTGGAGAAAAAAAGGTTTTAGAAATAATCAGCTGGGGTATCCAGTGACAGCAGAAAACCTGGTCACTTAGAGGCAGAGAATTACACTGTGAGAGACAATTAACTGCTTTATAATTTAGATCCTCCATGTGTTTAGTATCTGGTATTTCATTGCCACTGAGTTGTGATGGGGAATTGAACCAAACTTGGAGTACTGGCTCGTATTTTCTTGTGCTGACGCATTTGTTTTCCTCTCTTCCATGGACAACCTGCTAACCTAGCTGACAAGGTCAACATAGAAGGTGTTTACAGCATTACTCAAACCCTTGAGAAATGGGGAAACGACATCTTCTGGCAAATGAAGCATACCCTGCTGAACAACCCACATGCTCTCCTGCCTGAGTTCTCCAGGTAATTCCTCTCATCTAGAGGTGGGATTCAGTCCTCTCCTGAGTGTCCTTCCTTGAGCAGGATTCATCTTCTTAAAGATGAATTTTCATATTTCTCAGCTGGGGGGAAATAAAACACTCTGTCTCAGTACCTATCATGCTACCAGCTCTGACTAGTAAACTGAATACTCTGATAACTCTTTATTGTGAAACATTCTCAACTGCCATCACTGTATTACAAGAATCTTCCTAAAGAAATTGCCCTTGGCAGCTCATACTTGTGAGAACAAGCTGGAAAAAATGAATTGTTCTACAAATCCACACATGGGTTTGGCCACAGGTCAGGGAAAAGAATCTGGTTTGGTCTGTGATGTTTTTTTTATTTCAGTCTCTAACACCTAGATCTGAAAAAGCTTCATTCACCAGTTCATGTCATCATATTCCCCTTTTGCATTACAGGACATATTAACTGTTGAACAAACTCACAAAATTTACTTCAATCTCATATTTCCAGAAAAAGAGTAGGAAGGGCAGGGAAAGAAAGAGAGGAAAAGGGAGTACTGGGAATTACTAGAAACCTTATATTGCTTACATCAGAATTATTCATAAAGCAAGTAAAGTGTCTGTCTTCCATAACTAATTGTTCTCTTTAGGAAAAAAAAAAAAGTTTGCAAATGTTACACATTGAACCTGTTGAAGAGAAAAGCCTAGAAAAATAAAAAAGGCATTGGGCAGGTAGTCACACAGTATGTGTACAATTCAGTGTTTCAGGAAGATACTTCATAGATTATACACTGGCCTTTGGCATCAAGTGATTTCTCCCTGGCTGCATGGTGGCTGTTGTTACTAGCACAGGATTCATCACAATATTCACACTGACAGTGCTGAAATTCATTGGTGCCTCAATTTATGAAGGGTGACATTAAGTCTTGTATTTGGAAAGTTCTAACTTTAGTCCAAGAAGATATGATGAAACTATCCAGCCATATATCCTGAACTGAGCTTTGAATTACAAGTTTGCTGCCAAGGACACAGACTGGTTCATTAGAAATGTTGAGGACTAAGAGTACTCCATGGGAATCACTGGCCTAGCTTCCATGTGTACTCCTAGTTAATTATTTCTAATTAAAACAAGGTGGTGGAAAGACCATGTTGCTCATGCTGGTCCTGAAGCTTGTGCTTTCTGGGGTTCAGATGGGGCGCTTCAGATGAACTCCCATCACCAAAGAGCAGGGCAGCTTTGAAGCATCTTTTAATGGTTACTTGCAACTCTTTCATCATCTTTCCCAGCAAGAAACAAAGGTCATGGTAAATTACTTTGCATGCTCACAAACACTCCCTAAACTGAGTTATTCTTCTACATTACTGTCTTTGTAGTCTCCGCCCTGTCTCTGCAGCTGTGGACAACCTTGTGAGGGAAGTCCAGTCGATAAGGAAAAGGCTGGAAGAATTGAATGAACGTCTCAATGTCATCAGCAAAACTGTCCTTCCCCTTCGACTGAATGCTCTGCAGAGCCAGAGGCGTGGAAATACTCAGCTGCGGAGACTCCCGACACATAGGAGAAGGTTATATGCTCGCAGGAGACCTCAGAGCACTTAATTCTCTACCAGAAAAAAAGGGGAAATCTTTACTTTTTTTTCATCTGCTTAAGTCTTTCTCAATGGGACACTGCTAGAGAGAAAAAAAGTAAAGCACACACACGAGTCAGCTTTGCTAAGGAGACCAGAACTTCTGTATTTTGTTGCTGCCTTTCAAACCTAGGTCAGTAGGTGAAACCTGACCCTGTTTTTTAATGATGGCTGTTTTGTGTCTCAAGCAAAAAAGAGTTGACAAGCTCAGTCTACTTGAGCGTGAATACCTTTAGTCTATACAGGCATTCTTTCTGCTTACCAGAGGAAGGTCATTTTATAAAGATCAGGTGAATTTCTCTCTCTGCCCTATTTTTAAAGCACTCCATCTGAAACAGCTGGGGAATTTGAACTTCAAAAGTGCTGAACAACTGATGAATGCAGAAAGATGGATTAGTGCTTGGCACTTCCAGCTGGGCAGGGAGAGGGAGAGGAAGTTATGTTTCAAAATACAGCCTTAATCCATTGCCCATGTTCATACGTTCAGAGGGTGGGTAGGGCTGGATAACATTGGTCTGTACATCATGCTTCACTGAAGCATGTATCAACACTGAAGACGTATCAGTTGCTAGGGACCAAATTTGAACATCCACCTTCTGCAAAGAGTGTTTTTCTAGCTACCTGTATCTGTGCACTCAGAATGGTGTTATTCAGTAGATATATTCAGAATTTCCAGCACTCTGAAACACACTGAACTGATTTTTGCCAAGTCCCATGAAAACCAGGAGATCTTTGTTTGTTTCCCCCCCCCCCCCAAAACTATTTAGATATCTAATGTCAAAGATAGGTGTCTGGAAGGATTTTCCAAAATAGCTTAAGAGACTCTTCAGTCCCCAAAATCACAGATAATATTTCAATTGGTGTCTAGTTCACAGAGTATTTTCTCCAAATGCCAGCACTGACCTCCAGACATTTTCCAACCTCCTTTAGCACAATTAATGTCTGTAGAAAATTAACAACCAGGCTCTCCAAAGACTTTGGTCCCTCAGGGATTACCCAGAATACTTTGCCTTCAGCTTGTCTTTGCCTATGTCTTCCTGACAATAAAGCTGGTTATAAAAAAGAGTGCATTAATCAAATTATACACGGAATGGAGGATAGAGTGCACTTGCCCTTCAGGTCTCTAAAGATTGATCCAATACATAGATTTCCATTCAGCATTGCAGTCAACTGTGTCAATGAAATGTGTTGAAACATAAGAAGGAGAGCCAGAAAGGAGAAGAAACAGGTTGTCTTTAAGGTCTGGATGAAGCAATTTATGAGAACACAAATAAAGAATGGATTGTGTCTAAGTGATTGTGGAGGTGTCTGACATGACAGTTGTTTTGAAAACACTCTCAAGTCACAGTGAGGATGCAGACTAGCTATTTAAGGATTCCAAAAGCCTGAGTTTATGGAAAGAAATTCAGTGACAGTACAATAACCTCAAAAAGGAAAGGGGGAAAAAACTAGTTTCATATGAAACCTTTCAGAATGGACCAGAAGAATTAACACAGCAAGAATTTTAGCTGCAACCTGGGAGTTAGTTGAGTGGGGGAGGTATGGGCAGTGTATGAGACAATCTGATAAATATTTCCCTGATGTAAATTCTCTGAGTTCAGGTTTTCAGAAAATAACAAAACTCAAACTTGGCTCTCTTTGGCTTTTGCTTGGGAATTTGAAACACTGCTTAGCCAGAGAAGGGAAAAATCAAGACTGAAAAGGCTGATAAAAGGATACAGTTGTGCCTTTGTTGAAGTTGTCATCATAATTTCTCAGGAAATGTAGAGCATTTTGATCCCAGAATATATTTACATAAATTATGAGGAATAACAAGAGAGAAAGGCCCCTAACTTCTTGTTATTCTGCATTCAGAGTTTCTAGGCTGTGCTGTAGCAACAGCTGCATCCTTGCACAGACTGCTGATCCCTCCAAGGGATGCTGTGCTTGGAGCTGTAGGGATTGCTGGTTTTTTTTGGCCTATCTGAAGGAAGAGTACAACATAAATGTTAGCTTTCATGTTCATATTTTAGACACCAGCATTTTATCAGGCAACCTGAAGTTGTATAAATTGAGGACTACTTGAAATAGAAAGATGAGACTTCCCTAAGTCCCTCAAGTTACAGATGGCTGGTGGCAGGAGGCCAGACCATGTCATTGCATCCTTTTACTTTATACCTAGATGTCCACCAGCAGCTTCTGCCAGAGACAGAGGACAGGGCAAGATGTACTCCCAGTTTAACCCAGCCCATGTATTCCTACGCTGATATGTGCAAGTTTATAGTCTTGGCAAAACCTCCTCAGCACAATGGAGAAGGCCACCATTTGCTATATAAGAGAATAATAAGCTGCAGCATTCAGTGTATATTACAATTCTGCAATTTCATGCATAATGGTGAATAAACCAGGTAATATAAATGGTTAATAAATTACTAGTCTGACCTTGTCAGCAGTGATAGCAGCCCCTGTCATTCACTCTGTGAAAGCCCATGCCAGGCCCCAGCCCAGCTCCCTGACCTGAACACAGCCTGTTTGATCAGATGATGACAGCCAGCTTCTTTAACCTCTTTGCCTTTGCACGACCCTCTCTCTAGATGGAAAAGTTTTAGTGTCCTATTTCTTTTATCATTTTATTTTTTGCTCTTTAAGAGTGTAGGAAGGTTATGTGCCAGCCTACTTCTGCACTGTTCATCTTCTTTTTGAGGAGGCAGCAGTCCAGCTGAGCAACTTGAGATGCCTCTATCCCATCTGCCTGGGGAAACTGGTCTGACTCATGGGACTGATTCCCAGGGACTGGTATTTGATTTCTGCTTCTGCTAACCTCTTAAAAGATCCGGGGTAAGGAACTTTCTCTAACTGGCACTTGTTCTTTGGCATGGTTTATACAACACAAAAACATTTGTGTCTAAGTCTAGTCACAAGGTGTCTAAGTCTTCTATGCATATAAATGTATCCAGCTAAGCTCTCTGTTACGCTCATTTACATGAATTTCTGGGAGAGGATCTGGACAGAACTTTTAAACAGAGGTGACCAGTTGGGTGGTCAGTGGAGGGAGTTCAAGTATCATCAGGAACGTCTAAAATCTACCCCTCACCTAAAGTTTACAATATCCAGTGACACAGACCACTTCCTTAAAAAAACAACTATGTCCCTTTTTAGTTCTGTTTAGTTCTCTCAATTAAAAA